ATTTCAGATATCTAATCCCATTTAGGGCCTGGCTACCACTTCACTGAGTCACTTAAAAAAATTATTGAACACCTACTATATTGGCCTGCTTGTATGGTATCACTTCATAGAGCTTACATTTTACAGTCCAGTAGAAGAGATACACAATAAACAAGTAAAAGAACAAACAAATAGTAAATTCAGGTTTGGCATTGTGGCTCACACCTGGCATCCTAGCACTCTGGGAAGCTGAAATGGGAGGATTGCTTTGGGCCAGGAGTTTGAGAGGAGCCTGAGCAACATAGTGAGACCCCCATCTCTACAAAAAATTTAAGGAATTAGCCAAGCATAGTGGAGAATGCCTATGTTCCCAGCTATTCTAGAGGATGAAGCAAGAGGATTGCTTGAGCCCAGGAATTTAAAGTTGCTATGAGTTATGATGACACCACTGCATTCTAGCCCAGGTGACAGCAAGATGCCATCTCAAGAAAATAAAAATTAAAAATATTAATTACAAATGTCATCAAGTCTTATATAGGAAACAGGCTGTTGTGATAAAGAATAATGAGAAACAAGGCAGGAAGTCTTTCAGCTTGGGCGTGAAGGCCTGGAGGAGGAGACATTGGGACAGGGACTTGGGGAAACAGGAAGTGAGAGGGTGAAGGGGAAAGGTGGAGCAGGTAGACAGCACTTCAGAAGGTCTCAGGTGAGAAAGTGTTGGGTGCTCTGGAGGGATATGAGGCAGCCAGTGTGTGATTAGAGCACAGTAGGTGTGAGGGAGGTGGGAGAGATAGGAGTATAGGTGTGAGCCACCGTGCCTGGCCTTGTTTTGTTAATCACCATTTGAAATGATAGGGGAAGAATTCTGGAATGGAGGACACAGGAACCAGCTTAGAGGAAGCTGTATGGAGGCTCTATTCTAGCATGTGGGGATGGTAGAAATTTGAATGAACAGATTGACAGAGATTTCATAGGAATGATAAATGGGATTTAGAAACTGATTCATACTGAGGATATGGGAATATATTTCTAATCTAGTGAATGGATTTATCAAAGAAATTTCTGGAAGTTGGCTCGGCACCTGTGGCTCAAGTGGCTGAGGTGCCAGCCATGTACACCCAATGTGGCGGGTTCAAATCCAGCCCGGGCCCGCCAAACAACAATGACGGCTGCAACCAAAAAATGGCTGGGCATTGTGGCGGGCGCCTGTGGTCCCA